ATATACACCTGGGTCAGTGGATGAATTTTGCTGTGATCTTGTAAATGTCATTACCACATATTATACCACCTCTGTGGACACATGACCCCATCCTCACCAAAGAAGGAGAGAATGTAAAACAGCTTGCCAACACTTATAAGCAAAATAAAACTAGTGATAACCTTTTGCCATTCCTCAAAGCTAACAGAGAATTTCGTGAACTCAAAGGTCAGGTGAGAAACACCTATTGGGAACAATTCTTACAGGGGATTAATAGAACAACCACTCTAGCAGAAATGTGGAAGAAAATTAGAGCCATTACCAAGTCACCCACCCCAGTCCAGCTTCATCACGGCCCTGCAGAATATGTTGACATGCTATTAGACCAATGGTCTAGTGTGTCACGAATCACTTCCCTGCCTCCTGACATACAACAATATCTTAACACCTCACACATTAATAGGGGTTTCAATATTGAAATAGCCTGTTCCTCACCAGACCTTACCGACCAGTTTCCTATAACGCACCACGAACTAACAACAGCACTAATGAAAGGCGAGTCATCCTCCCCTGGTGAGGATGGCATAACCTATAACACCCTGAGATTGTTGAATGAGATCCCTAACCATCCACTGCTTGACCTGTATCAAATGAGCCTCACACAGGGTATTCTGCCTAAGACATGGACTCATGGAAACATAGTTCCAATCCCTAAAGCTAATTCTCCAAACTTCAGGCCAATTTCACTTACATCCTGTATGTGTAAAGTCCTTGAAAGAGTTGTTCTAAACCGTCTCATGTTTCAAGTCAAAGACAAACTCGCCCCTAATCTGTACGGGTTCATGCCCGGGCGTAGCACACAGACATGCTTTGCAGAATATCTTGTTCACTCAAAAGATAAGACACAAACAGCCTTCATAGACCTTAAATCAGCCTTTGATGTAGCTAATAGAGACATTATACTTGAGCAACTAGCTAATTTTGGCATACAAGGTAACCTCCTGACATGGATAAAGGGTTATCTGTCCAACAGGTATGCCAGTGTTCTGTTTAGGGGAGTTAAAAGTACCAGAATGAGATCATTTGAGCTGGGCACGCCTCAGGGAGGAGTGTTAAGTCCTATGCTCTTTAATATACTGATGCACAAGCTTATTGCTGACATTCCAGTTCAACCAAACGAAGCCGTAATATGCTATGCTGATGATATCTGCATTATGACACAAACCAAACTCAGGCTCCAAGCCTTGCTGGATGTATTTGCTCGGAGAACTGTTGAATGCGGTCTCATAATATCTGTTGACAAGACGAGGGTCCTCAATCCTCGTCCTGCTCACCCTCTGCCTCTTGACTATAACATTAACAGCATGCCCTTGGAACTATGTAGCTCCTATAAATATCTTGGAATTTGTGTGAATGATGCAAACTTTGTCAGCAACCTTCGTGACAAACTAATGCAGTGCATTAAACCCCTCAGAACCCTTGTTGGCAAGGGCTATGGAATTAACATCACCTATGCTCGTACTTTCTATCTTCACTTCATTCGTTCTGTAGTTGACTATCATGCTCTCCATCTTGTGACTATTCCGCCTAAACAACTCAACAGCCTTGAGGTAGTGCAAAATGAAGCCATGCGCATCATCCTAGGTTGCCCAAAATCAACCAGAATTGTAAACATGAGGAAAGAGCTCGGACTGCCCTCCCTATCTGAGAGGATAGCCCTACTTAATACCATGTTTTGTGTCAAAGTTTTGAAGAACAATAGTTCTCAAACTACAACTCAAACTGAGTTGATGTTCTATCTAAGTAATCCCGACCATCTCGCCAACCTTTCACAAAAGACTCTCTTTGGGGCGTGGCTTCATAAAAGTGTTGCAGATCTCCTGAAACTGAATGTCCCAATCACCCCAGACGAACCTATTAATGCCATTCCTCCTTGGCTGGACATATCAGTTCCTATTAATTACACTCCTGTTGGTAGTAAGCAAATGTTAAACACCGATGTGGTGAGATGTGTCACACTAGAAACTATTAAATATGGTAGTTTTAATAAGATTATTTATAATGAAGGCAAATTCTCATTTTTTTTTAAAAAAATTGAAGTTGGGGGCGCATGGTAGCGACCCATATGCGGTTTCAAATTTTAAAATACTTATATTTTAATTAAAAAAAAAATCATAATCAAAATTTCTGTTTTTAGTATATTGACGCGTTTTGAAGCAGACCGGCACTTTTAAAAATTTAATTTTCTGGTTTGAAATATGTAGATAAATTACTATAATTCAAATATTTTGTTTAAGGTTAGGAGGTTAGTGGAGAGTGCTAACTAACTCAGAACTTCACTTTGTTGTTAGGGAGTTAGTTAGCATTTCTAACAAACTTCATAACAATTTTCAATTTTGTCGGAGTTTCTTTTAAAGCTGCATGAAATGGTGTTTTACCTTCATAATTTTTTAGCTTGATTTGGGCGTGGGACAGATTTTTTTTGGTAATAAATAACTGATATAATTTGTTTAATTATTTATGTTTATAATTATATTTATATTGTTAATTTTAACGTTGATAATAAATTTCTTTAATTTTAGTATGTTTATTTAATCGTCAAAAATTAAAAAAATACTATTTGTACACTCATGGAAGTTTGATTCTTGCTTAATACTTTTACGTTATAACTGGTAAATACATGTAAATAATTGTGGGGAAAAGAAAATAAGTAAATTTATTAAAAATAAGTTTAATTAAAAAGTAGAAATCGTGTTAAGAAAATTAAAATCACAGTATAAAATATTAAATTATGGGCGGTAGCCTGATTTGGTAGTTATAAAAAGTCTGACTAAGTTTTGTGCCAGCAGCCGCGGTTATACTTTAAGATTAAGTAAAAGTAATTTAGTTAACAGTTAATTAAAAATTTATAAGTTAGTTTAGTTTATTTTAATAAAAGGTAAAATTAGATTGTTAATTAGTAAATTAAACTAGTATATAATAAAGATGAAACTGTAGATGCCAGGGTATGAACTAGGATTAGATACCCTATTACACCTGGGAGTAAAATTTAAATGCTTGAATATTAATAGTTATATTCTTTAAAATCAAAGAATTTGGCGGTATTTTAGTCTTGTTAGAGGAACTTGTTCTATAAACGATAAAACACGCAGAATCTTACTTATCTTGGTAAATTTTACAGTTTGTATACCGTCATTATTAAATAATCTTGAAAAAGTTAATTATTGGGATTAAAAAATTAAATATATTAGATCAAGGTGCAGCTGATAGATAAGTAGAAATGAGTTACAATAATATTTATTTATAACGGATTGAAAATAGAATTATTTTTAAAGAAGGTGGATGTAATTGTAAAAAGAGTTTAATAAGCTTTTTTGGTATAAGCTCTAAATTATGTACATATCGCCCGTCACTTTCATTTAAAATGAAATAAGTCGTAACGTAGTAGGTGTACTGGAAAGTGTCCCTAGAAATCATCGAAATAAAGCTTTATAGTTTAGCATCTCACTTACGTTGAGAAGGTTTATCGTGCAAATCGATTATATTTTGAGTATTATAAATCTTTGCTATTGTTATTTAGTGTTAAAATATGAATGAGAAAAATATTTTTATATAAAAGAAGTAGAAATCTAAAATTTTGAATCGAAAACTGAGATAAAGGCTAGAGTTAAAAGTATTGTAAAAGAATAGTGAAATACACACCTTCAAGGCATATTATACATACTGCTCTTTTGGTCGTATCTGTAGTGCCATGGATGAAGGCCCTGACCTTGATGTTAGCAAGTGTTGGAAGGAGTACAACATTACAGACTGCATTATCAACTTCAGTGAATCATTCAGTGAGCTTAAACCAGAGACAGTGAATGCTTGTTGGCACACCTTATGGCCTGAGTGTGTGAATAACTTTCAGGGATTTCCGTCCATGGTAAAGGATGTGAATGACATTGTGAATGTTGCATGTCAGTTGGGTGGTGAGGGGTTTGTGGACATGGCTGCTGAAGATGTGGAAGAGCCGATTGGTGGGCATGGAGAGGAACTTACAGAAGAGGATTTGAAAGAGTTGGTAAAAATTGCCAAGAAGATATGGAATTACAACATGAAGGTTGGAGTATGGAAATTTTGGTGAATTATTTCGTCAGGTAAAGATGGTGAATGATTTCATTGTTGACCACGACCCTTCCATGGAACGCAGCCTTTAGATGGTCCGAGGAATCAATCAAGTATTGTTTTCCTATCGGGAAATGTTTCAAGAACTGAAAGCCAAGAGGGAACAACTGCCAATCAACATTTTTTTTTTTAAGAAAGAACCAGCTAGTGCTACCGCTGCCGCTCCACCCTCCTCTTCTCCCCAGCCACGCACCACCTCACCACCCTCCTCCCAGCCACCCACCACCTCACCACCCTCCTCCCAGCCACCCACCACCTCACCACCCTCCTCCCAGCCACCCACCACCTCACCACCCTCCTCCCAGCCACGCACCACCTCACCACCCTCCTCCCAGCCACCCACCACCTCACCACCCTCCTCTTCTCCCCAGCCACGCACCACCTCACCACCCTCCTCCCAGCCACCCACCACCTCACCACCCTCCTCTTCCCCTCAGCCACGCACCACCTCCCGGTCGCACACCACTCCACCAACCACCACTGATTCACCCTCTTCCACCAGTGATCTTGATGATCCACCTATGCTTCATTAACCAGATGTCTCCCTATATACAGTACACCACTTCATCAAGCTCCAGACTTCCACATACAAATGTAAGTACATTATTGTGACTTAAGTTTCTCATACACAGTATAGGTATACCTGTATATTAGTGCACTAAGGTATTACAGAAATGGCTATTTGCGGTTTTACCTATTCGCGCCATTTCTTGGAACCTATCCATCGCGAATGGCAAGGGTTTACAGTAATTATTATTCTTTGGTCACAATAGGGGTCTATAATGCTTGAAACATTCAATCAGATTTTCTCCACTCCAACAAAGGGGGTTCCAAGAAATAAATGGTCTTAGCTAAGAGGTGCTACAAAATTAAGTTAAGTACTTATTTCTCACCTTCTCCATCCAAGTATAACAGTCCAGAAGCTGGTAGTAGAGTGGTAGTTTATCTGGTGAGGGGTCCAAGGACAAGAGCCCTGTGTTACCCAGATTTACAGGGTTTGAGGGTGGATTAAGACCTGCTACTTGAGTCTCCAGTTCTCTGCAAGTTAAAAATATATATAAACAGGCTTTTCTTCCCAACTGAAATTCTCAATAGCTTAAAAAATTCATATTTTAACTGAATAATGAAGGACTGATGCTGAAATTCCATTACAACCATATCTGGCTTGGGCAACTCCTATATCAGCCAAAGACTATTGGATGAGACGCCCAATCCTACAATACGAACATGTATTTAGCCATAATCAGGGTAAAAAAAATTTTCTTTGCCTAAAAACCACATAGAGACATGAAATCACTGCCATATTAAGTGTTCGCATTTTCTGCCCCATTATTCCCATCTTCTTTCAGGCCCTACTTACTAACAAATAATTTATCACCCAAAGAACATCTGGAAAATATAGAAGAAATATATAAAAGCGTTCGGGTGCTAATCATCTGCTCCACCTTTACCATACAATGAGCTAGACTTTCTCCAAATAATAAGCTTTGTATTGGGAAAAATTAAAAAAAAGCGAGGTTAGTTATTTTGGAACTACAGTATGTACTCACATTTCAATCACATGTCACTAAAACATACTAGCAATGTTTACAACCCAACAGGCTCCTTGTCATTCTGTACAGTACTACAGTGGTCCCTCGGTTAACGAACACAATCCGTTCTAGAAGGTTGCTCGTTAACCGAAAAACTCATTAACCGAAACCATTGTTTCAATGGGTTTTTGGGTAATTGGTTCCAGCTCACCGAAAATTGCCTAAATTCAACAAAAAAGGTAGAAAGGTTCACTTACTTTCAGGTGTGTATGTAGAAGGCTCCTGGATGATGATGGGGATTAGAATGGGGGTGGAGGAGAACGGAGAAGAGAAGGCATTGGGGTGGAAGAGAAGTCACCCCATGGCGCCATTTCACCCATAAAATTTTAGTTCTCTTGGTGTAATTCAAGATTATTTTCTTTAAATCAACACGGCACTGCATTACATATTGTCAATATGTAAAATAAACTTCAAAATGACCAATAATTTGCTTGTAAACACAGAAAAAAAAGCGTTTAGCTGAAGAGAGTCTCAAGCAAGATGTTACCTCCACTGAAAAGACAAAAAGACTGACGCCTATATGCTGTGTTGGCAGGCTGAATGGCGTGCCACAAACTAGTTTCTTTACCTTCAATTATGTTCATAATTGTTAAAATTACTAAAAAACTTAATATTAAACCATTAAAATTATTGAATAGTATAAACTTCTTGATATTTACTAAAAGGGTAAGGAATTTAAGCCCTAGAACCGATTACTGTATTGGCGGACTAATACTACAGCTGTTGGACCGCCAAATGCAAGCTAAAACATGTGGAGGTCAGCTCGTAAGAAACTCGTTAATCGAGGGATTGCTCGTTAACCGAAGTTAAGAATTTTATGGAAGGTAACTCGTTAACCGAAATCTCGTTAACCGAGGGACCACTGTACAGTACAGTATTTTAAGAAAAAGCTGCGACCCACAGATATTTTGGCAAATGATAATGGTAAATGTTCTATTTTAGGTAGAATTGTTTCTTATGTTATGTGATGTGACATTTTGATTATACTGTATAGGTGTTTTTGTGACTGTATTAGCAACTTATTCTTTTCAGACAAGTCAAGAAATGAACAACGATCTCATCGGGAGTGTTTATTACAATTTATATTGCATTGAATTCGCTCATTTTCCTAAAGATGTTGTTTGGATAATAACCAAAAAATCAAAATGACAATTCACAGGTTAGGAAGATAGGTAGGTTAGGTAACATTCTAATAAGGGTATTATTTTAGTTTTGGTCATCCAGGGACTTGTACAAATTTCAGAAAGTATTTTTCACAGCAATATTGTGAAACAGAACTGGGTTTGTGGGCCAAGTCCGTTGTTGACAGGAAACATTATTGCAGTGAGGTCTGTATGAACTGGATGGAAAACCAGGAACCTATTGGTGGCCCAAATGCAATTGTAGAAATTGACGAAAGTAAGTTTGGTAAGAGGAAGTTCCAACATGACCGCTTAGTGAAGGGTATCTAGGTTTTTGGCAGCATTGAGTGTGGATCGGGCTGCATGTTCGTTGTGCCGGTTGAGAAAAAGTGACGCCGACACCCTAGTTTCTCATTGCCAGAAATTTATCACGCCAGACCACCACTATCTACAGTGATTGCTGGAAAGCCTACTCGAACTTGGGGTCCTTAGGTTATAACAAACCAAACCGTTAACAACAGCGAAAACTTTGTTGACCCTGATACTGCAGTGGAAGAGTATAAAACCCTGGGTTCTGAGGGCTGGCAACAGGGATTACCACGACAAGCACTACTTCGTTCGCTACCTGTTCTGCCACATTCACCAAGACCACAGCACAATCCTTCATCACTTCCCCAACACTGTGGCTCGCCGTTTCCTACCATCACAATAACAAATAACGGTATTATTGCGTTTTAACATCACATATTCCTACCACTAATCTATTATCATTCGAATAAGTCGTCTAATTATAAGATAATTTTCATCTATTACATTACCGGCGCAAATGTATGATAATGGAGACAGCATATCCAAAATGTTCTCTATTTTCTTCCATTATTCTTCCGCCATTATCGCCTACCTCACCTCCCACACTGATGTCTCCTTCATAAATCATCACGCGCATGCTTTCCCGTACACGTTACGCGGCCAATCAAAAGCGTTTTTTTGGCAACCAATTAAAATGATTTTTGGTTTAATTCGCTGTAATTTTGACCCAATCAAAATCGATTTTTATTTTGGGTCTCTCATATTTCCAAATTCATATTCATTTCCGACCATGGAAGTGTGTGATGGGTGTCACTTAAATTATATGGAGCTGATTGTGAGTTTTGGGAAAAAAACTAAAAAAACTGGAGCATTTTTTCGATCGCATGGTGTTCTCCCAACCTCAGTAAAGTGTCATAAGTGCAAGACAATGTAAATATCGTCAAAACCAACATATGTGGCGTTGTCCTAACTCGTCCCTTATCCCAAAGACAAAGAAGAGACAGCAATAAGGTAAGAAATAGGTGATTCCATCATATGGTGAGAGTCGGTTAGGTTAGGTTTTTGCTTTTTCTAGTGTTTTTAGGTGTATTTTTTATTCGCTTAGCCATTTTTTTTTTCGGAAAACGTCCCAAGAAAAAAATCGATAAAAAAAACCGGCCAATTTCCGCCGGAAATGAAGGTCATATTCGGTCTAAACAATCAATGATTACCACAGTGAAATTGCAGCTTTTCAAAATCGTTTTCTTTAAATTTCGGCCGCAGTTTAGTCATCAAGGTTAATATATAGGCCTAACCAACCAAGGCTGCATAGCCCCGATGCGGCTGTATCATCTCGCGTCTAGAAAATGCCTCAAATTTCACCATATCATAGTAAGTTCTTTCTGTTTAATATAGCGGGGGGTAGAGCCCCCTTCCCCCATAAGGAAGTTAGGTAAGGTTAGGTAGGTTTGTTGGGTTAGGTGTTCTTCATACCCACAAATGTTAAGTAGCGCTTATTTAAAAAATAATTTTTTTTTAACATATTTCCACAAACTACAACAGTGGCCACTATAATATAACAATGAAAATCCGGCGTTTTCGAAATTGTTTTCAATCAAATTCGCTGGCGGGTTAATCCTAAATAATTACCGTCATCAATTATTACCCTGCCTCCTCCATTAGTTTGTGTGGATTTTCAGTTTTGGCTCTCAGGTTGACATTTTCACGAGATTACCTAAAATAGCAGAACCTGATACTTCAAAAGTTCCCCGTCTCGCTTAATGTCAATAACGGACCTCGTGACTTTATATCCGTTAAGTATTACCCAACAAGAACACTCTAATTATTGTTTTTTTTTCAGAAAATCTAATTATGCAACAAGTCCTGTATATTCATAAGTTAAAGCTCACCGTAAATGGCATTTAACATCAGCCATGACCTTCATTGCCTCCTCGTGTACACTGCTGTCGCCTTCATTACTGTTTTCATCTCTATTGCCTTCTGAAATGAATTTGAAAAAAAGGGTAACACTACTTCTGAGTGTCCTCAGTGTGTTCAGTGTTACAGTAAGAGTCTCAACACTCGTCCCCTCCGGTGCCGCCATGTTCACTGAGCCAGATGTACGAGCTTCACGGCCAACTTCACGCCATCTCACGGCCAAACAGTCACTGAGCAGGGTGCCAGATGTACGACCTTCACGGCCAACTTCACGCCATCTCACGGCCAAATCTTTTTGGATGGGAAGCACAAGGCTATTTTTGCAATCCACACAAAATAAAAGTATCCCCTACAATATCCACTTAAAATGTCGTAATATAACCAAATTTTCACTTAGAATTGAGAGCCCAATGATTACATAAACATAATATCTATAATCTACAGTGAAGATTTACCTTAATCTGAAATGGTGGTGGAGCATGATAATGGTGGTGGAGCATGATAATGGTGGAGAACTTGATAACACTAGTTGGCGTAAGCAAAACGTCTAGTTAGTCATCGTCCCCTGGTTTGTTATATTTTCTACCACTGTCGTAGGACCCTTTTCATTTACTAGTGGACATTTTGAAAACTAGCACTCGGAATTTCAGAAAGTAACTCAGATGGCTTTGTTAGCTCTGAAGCTGCCTATTGCAGACTCAATTCAATTCAATTCAATTTCAATTGTTTATTCCTTGATAGAGGAAGCGGGATCCTAGTGCTGTCACTAGGTACCCCTGTACAATGACACCAGAAGCATCTGGCAAGTGTGAAAAGTATATACAGTATAAATATTATAAAGGGCTTACTAAAGCCTAAGGAAGGAAGGATGTTCCTTTAACACATAATTAATATTATTTACAAAATATCTGGCCAGTATTGGGAGGATCATCGTGTCTCCGTCAGGGGGTCGTGGAGTGGTGGTCCAGCAGGCGTCACGGAAGCGTTGTGTGTGGGGACATCTTAGGAGGTAGTGAATAAGGGTGCGGCTGTCGGGTCTTCTGCATAACGCACAAGAGCGTTGCTCAGGGGATGTGGGGATACCAATCTCCCAAGCAAAGTCATACCCAATGATGATACGGGCAGCAATCACGTCCCCCTTCCGCGACCCTTTCCCGTAGACGTACGAGAGGTCAGGAAGTTTACGGAGGACATCGTACCATGTGGGCGGGGAGTCCAGGGGGATGGCTGCTTCCCGAGCTTCTCTCTGTTTGCGGCGGATTTGGGTCCTAATCTGTAAGAGTGTTCGAGGAACAACGTAGTCAGGTGTGGCCTTGTTGCAGCCAGTCTTGGCAAGGTCATCTGCTGCCTCATTCCCCAAGATACCGACATGACTAGGTATCCATAGGAATGTCACAGGACGGCCTTCATCCTGAAGTGTGGATGTTAACCCTCGTATTCGGAGGATGAGGTCCTTATTTTCCCCAGATCCAAACGCGATCCCGTCGAGAGCAGACCTGGAATCGCAGCAGACAAGCAAGGGGCAGAAACCATCTGCTTCTTCCTCAGCGAGAAGGGCAGCAAGGAGGGCTATTAGTTCAGCCTGAGTGGAGGATGCCCCGTCAGAAACTCTGAGAGACAGTTTGATAGGCTCAGGGGCATGAGGACGGGAGATGTAGACACCAGCCCCGGCCCTACCTGTAGCGGGGTCAACAGAACCATCAGTGTAGAGGACGACCCTACCTGGGGACCAGTGAGCGATCCTGGAGAGGTGGTATTTGCAGAGAATAACAGGGTTCACCTGGGATTTCGGGAGCGGTCCACCGAGGGCAATCACTTCAGGTTGAAAATCCAGCCAGGGAGAAGGAGACGAACCAACAGCAGGGGTGACAACAATATCAGGCAGGAGGTCATATTCCTGAAGGGCTCGGATGAGTGACCCTCGCCACTGTCTTCTAGATGGAGGTCGGTCTCGAACAGCAGTAGTCAAGTTGGTTTGGACATAGTTGCCCCTAGGATCCCATAGAATGGAGACGGCAGTTTTTAGGTAAAACTCCTGGACACGATCCTGTAAGGGGGAAAGACCAAGTTCGTTATATAGAGAAGTAGAGCGTGTCCACTGAGGAGCCCCAAGGATGATACGAGCAGCTTTCCTCTGGATAACTTCGAGACGGTTGACAGCAGTCCGACTAATGTTGACGAGGGCAGGGGCGGCGTAGTCGACACAGGAACGAACAAAAGACTTGTACATGGTGAGAAGTACAGGGATGCTGGCACCAAGGGAACCCCTGCACATGGTAGAGAGGGGAGCGAGACGCCGAAAACATATGTCTCGAAGATAGCGGACTTCAGGGATCTGACAACGTGTGCGAGTTACATACACACCCAGGTATTTTGTCTCATTAACCCAGTCCAAGGGCGTTCCTGATAAGAAAAGGGGTGGAGGTACAACACGACCGTGCCACATGGCTTTTGTTTTCGCAGTTGAAAGAAGGAAACCAAGTGAATCACACTCTCTGGAGACCAGATCAAGGGCTTCCTGCATGCTGAGGTAGTCAGGGGCTTGGAGGAGGACATCGTCGGCATATCCTGAGTGGACAACTTCTGTCGGCCACGGGAGTGATGCAATGGAGTGCATGAGAGTGTTAAACAAGGTGGGACTCAGGACTCCACCTTGAGGGGTGCCGAGGTTCATTTCTTGAACAGGAGACATAGAGCCTTCAACGCGAACCCGGGCCTGACGTCCAGTGAGGTAAGAGGCGATCCATTGTAGAAGTCTCCCTTTAACCCCTAACCGTGCAAGTTCAGCTAAAATGAGGGCAGGCTGAGCCGTATCAAAGGCTCCCTTGATATCAAGGAAGACGGAGACGCAGGCAGTCTGATTGCAATAAAAGGAAGCAATGGAGTGTGCTGTGCTGCGATGTTGAATGAAACCATTGAGGGAGTTGTGGAAGCCGCCTATGGTGTGAAGAAGGCGACGATGGAGTACCCTCTCCATCATCTTGCAAACACAGGAGGTAAGACTAATGGGTCGATATTTCCCAGGATCTCCCGGCTTAGGGATGGGGATAATAGTGGCATTTTTCCAGTTGGACGGGAGAACCCCATGTTCATAAGACATATTGTAGAGAGCAAGCAAGGGGCCGTTAGGAATATTAGTACAGGCGTTGAGGACGGAGTAGGTTATCTGATCATCCCCAGGAGAGGTGTCTTTTCTAGAGCGACGAGCACTGTCAAGCTCGAACTGTGTGATGGGATGATCAGTGGGGGCAGGGGAGGTAAGAGCAGCACGAACAACAGGCTCAGACGCATCGATGCGGGCCTGCACTGTCTCCTGCATTGGATCTGGAAGTGCCTCAGGGGAGGAAGCTCGTGCCCAGTCCTCCATTAAAGAGCAGGCAAGGGAGGCGGGGTCAGGGTGGGGAGGAGGCCTCCGTCGAGTACCCCGTATAGCATTAATCCGATTCCATACATAAGAGGGTGACGACTGGAACGATAGAGATCCCGTGAAGGATAGCCAGTCCGCCTCACGTATCCGACGGCGCTCCTGAGTTGCAAAGGAGCACCAATTTTTGAAGTCTTCCCAGTCCTCTGGAGACCGAGACCTCCGTATGGCAGAGTGGAGATCACGGGTTACCTGCCGGAGATGTCTCATGGCAGGGATACGATACCAGTAGTTGGTGGCACTTCTGGGGTGACGGGGAGGGCGTGGAGGGGTAGCGCGATTGACAGAGTCATACACGGCATCAACAAAATCAGCGCTGTAAGAGTCAAGGGACTGAGGGACAACATAGGAATCCGCCCAGGTAGAAAGGTATTGGGTAAAGGGAGGAACAGCATCTTGTGTGAGACGAAGGCGAGGGGATCGATAAGGAGTTGATGTCGGGGCAGAGAAGGAGAGCCTGAGATGGGTAGTAACGGCAAGATGGTCACTATACAGAGCAGGCTCGGTGCAGACGGTAGGATGAAAGGAAGTATGACCGTTCAATAGTAAGCCAACATCAAGGAAACTGTGGGGGAGGCGAGTAGGATCGTCAGGACAAAGAAAGCGAACATCATCCCCATTAAGAAACTGTGAGAGATGTGATCCATTAAGGGTACATGGAGTGGGATGATCCGGAGTAAGAGTGGGATGGCGGGCATTAAAGTCGCCAAGAACAATAGTGGGAACCCCATCATGGAGGTCGTGAAGAACCTGGGGGTCCAGAGAATCACTCTTGAAATGAACATTGACTACACGAAGGGTCCGGTCACCAAGAGTAAGGGAGACAGAAAGTAATTCAGACGGGGGTCCATGTGAGTCAGGTGAAGGGAGACGAACAGATGGAATGGTGTTACGCACAAGGGTGAGGAGGCCACGAGCCTGCCCACGGTACCGAGGCAGGGTGTAAACAGAATAGCCAGAGAGGCGGAGTGGAGTAACATCGTCTGCGATGGTTTCCTGAAGTAGAGCAACATCTACTTGATGGGAGAGCACAAACTGGGCGAGGTCTGTCCGGCGAGGTCTAAGTCCCTGGATGTTCCATTGTAAGAAGAGGAGGGAACGGCCTCCGGTGTGAGATGAGTCGGAGGGGCTAGATCGGGCTCCAGAGGAGGTACCAAATTCTGTTGAGAGAAATGGAGAGGGAGGAGTGGGAGAGCGAGGGATGGATCCTCCATCTCGGGAGATGGAAGGAGGCGGGTCATCAGGGCTTGCAAAGTGTGCCCCTGTTGGGTCAGGGTGTCCAGAATGAGTTGTTGTTGCTTCTGCAATGTCGCAATTGTTTTCACAAACAAGTCGAGTTGGGCTGAGAGAAGGTTGATTTGCTTGGAGTGGCGATCCAGACGGAGAGTGATTGTTTCCATAGAACCAACTTGGTGTACCTGTGCATGAGCTGGAGGTGGCGGCGAGGATTGCCGAGGGCCCGACTGGGCATGTGGTGGTGGTAGCGACGGAGAGGGACGGTGAGGGTTCAGTTGAGTAAGAGGTGGTGGTGCTGGTGAGAGACAGCGGGGGTCCGGGTGGGCAGGAGATGGTGGTGACTGTGTGGCAGGGCCGGCAACGACCTTGTTCCAAGAACGGTAGGGAGAGGGAGGGAGGGGAGAAAGGATGGGTGGTAGGGGGTGATAGGGGGGGGTGGTAGAGGAGAGGAGATCAATGGGAAATCCTTGGTGGATGGAAGAGGCGGTGGTGGATAGGATTGAGGTTTGGTTGACAGGGGCTTCGTCAGAGACGAGGGCGGTGGTACAAGGTAAGTTTTCCCCGGGCGAGTGCCAGGACGCTGTGGGCAATTGGCATTCCAGGCGTGGTGACTGCCATGGCAATTGACGCACCGTGGAATAACTGGGATTTTGT